TGATAAAGACTGTAATACCCAGTACACTTTATTTAATTGAATAAAAACTACAAATTACTAATGGATAAATAAAACTATTTTTACTTACCTTCTTTTGGAATTTTTTAAAATTTATATATTGATTTAATTCCTCAGCCGGTGGAACTTTTAAATAATTTACATTCATTATTACAAATTGTGTTCGATTTGTTACTTCAATTACAGTATTTGAACCAAAATAAGAAAATAAAACTTCACTTATTGATAATACATTAAATGTTATTAAAGCAAATAATGTAAAATATGAATATTGAACTAAACTAAGTTTATATAATAAAAATAATGTTATAATTGTTGATATTCCACATACAATAATACTTATTAAATTTTGAAATTGATAAAATGAATTTACTTTTTTCGTTATTTTATATACTTTTATATATCGTTTTTGTAATATATCAAAAAAATTATTAATTTTTAAATAATTTTTTAATATTAAATATTTTTTATAATTGTTTATTATATATTTTTCATTTAAATTTATTAAATTTAAATAAAATTTATATATTTTTAAAAATCTATTATGAATTTCTTCAAAAAAATACCAACAATTCATTGTTAAACAATAAAATGTACATAATGAGCTTGCAATTAAAAATTGTGTTAAAAAACCTAATATTGCATTTAATTTATGCCACCAATTTTTATTAATAAGTAAATTTTGTAAACATATTGGTCCAATAATTAATTTAAATATAAATATAAATACATTTATTAATATTTTAATAATATAAATTTGAATTAATTTTCTATTATTTAATTTATATGAAAATTTAATTAAATTTTCAAAATTATTTATTAATAATAACATTAATTCACGATAATAAATTGTATGTTTAATAAAATTTGATATAATACCAATTACTCTTAATGTTATTGAAAATTTTCGACCAAATATTAAAAATTGATTTGATATCAATTTTGTTAAATTACCATCATCATGTATTAAATTTATTATCCAAAGAATAATAATTAATAAATGAATTGTAATACTATAGGTTAATGCAAATTTTGATATCATAAATTTCATATTTTTATAATCAATTAATTTAACATAATTTGTTCCAGCTAATTTTGTAAAATAAAATCCAAATAATGTTATAAAATGCAGAAAATTTACATTGAAATTTCCTTGCTTTTGTTGATGTTTTTTCAACATTTTCTCAATAATTATTTTTAATAATTTTAATGGAATGTAATTTTTAAAAAAAATTAATGTGATTTATTAAACTACTATTATTAAAATGACGACTACATAATTAAAATCTGATTATTTTTGAAGAGTTGAATGAATATTTTTCGTATCATAAAGACGCATACGAGCGTGCGTTACGAATCAAATTGTGTTAAGAATATTGTAATTGTGTTCCACAAATATTTTACTAAAGTTTCGTTTATCAAATAATATGTTTCAATATTTTTAGCTTTCTTAAATTCAATTAAATTAATTAATAAAATAAATTTCCAAAAAAAATTTCTTGTATATTAAAATTATAATTGTACGTTGTAAACAACAAAAATACTTAAAATATTGAATAAAATTAAATATTTTAACATACTAAAATTATAGGCTTGAAATATAGATTGTATAAGATTAAAATAAGAAATATTTTAAAAGATTTGTTTTCAAAATTCAACTCAACAATAGCCAACAATTGTTAGTGGTGTGACCCTAATTTGTTTGTTTGCACAGAAGAATACTTTAAATTTACTGAGGAACTTTTTATAATATTCAAGTACTCTTCACGTTATTTGCAGTAATTTGAATACAACAATTTCAATAAAATTTAAATAAAATTTCTTGTTAAAATTTTAATTTCTTTTATAATTCTCACCTCAAAATTCTCACTTATCCTTATATTTGTAAATTGTTCCCACAAATTGTGACAAATTCTAAATGAAACTAAACTATTTTCTATCCTTACAATTTTTTTCATATACTTTTCTTATTAAACAATAAAAATTTTTGCATTCTTTTTTAAACGCAAAAACCAAATTCATCTATTGATTTTAATTTAACCTCATAAATTTATGCAAGGATAAAGCAAAAAACAGGAACTACATAATATTCATTATTATTTTTTTTTTTATTATCCTTTTCTTTCCTAAAACAAAAACAAAATAAAATTTCTTTTTAAACTGCATTTACATTTAAAATTATTCAAAAAAAAAAACAAAAATCCCTAGGAAAATAAACAAAACAACAAAATAACAGGAAACTTTATAACAGTAAATATGTATGTGTATGTGTGTGTGAATACATAGATAATATTTAAATAAACCCGAAATCACGTACTAATGTTTTTTATTTCTAAATAAATAAAATTTACTCTGCTATAAGACAAAAAAGAGAATTTAAATCCAAAACTCTGAATTTTCTTCATTAAAGTTTCTTATGTAATATTCAAGATACAATATAGAAAGAAATCGGTGCCAGATCTTATCATTGATTTTATACAAAGAAATTTGTTATAGCATTAAGATTGTTCAACATTGTTGTTAATACAAAAGAAGTTTAAAACTTATTTAAAGAAGTTTGGAAATTGAATATTCTTTAACCTTTTTTTTTTAAGTATAAGAACATCAAATAGGTATATTATTAGGAATTATAATTATTAAGAATATTTAAGAATTTTTTATGTTCTTCAAACAATTATTGTAATTTGCAGACATAGATGTAAGATTTGTATATAAATGTATAAAAATATTGAATGTAATTTCTGAAATTTAATCAAAACTTATTTCTATTGTAGTACATGTACAATTAATACAACCGTAGAAACAATATTTCTTGTTAGAAATAAAATAAATTCGGAACGCACCCATGCCTTATACAGGACAAATGGCGGTAAAGCACACGAGGAACAAAAGCCTCACAAATTCAGAAAAACGTAAAGGTCGAGTGAATCCTGTTGGAGACATATGCTTCCTTCTTATTGGGATTATAGATTTGTACAACAGTGTACAGCGGTAACGTATAAGGATTTATTGTGCCTTAACTCTAAGTGTGCGGCATGGCCCACAACAACACCCGCTCTGGTCCCATGATGTCTTGATGAACTCAATCATATTATGAGGCTCACAGAATTTGCAAATGTTCTCACTTTGTGAGAAGTACATTCCACTGCAAGTGAGAATTTTCATCTGATCTTGCCCAACCCGATAATTAATACTGTAAAATGACTTCATTCTTCTTACCCAAAGTAAATTCGGGAGTCACTCGACCAGACGTCGAGTATGTCGACCGCCAACGTGAAAAATTATTATACTTTTTGAAAATGATAATCTTGTACTGTGCCATTGAATATAAAATATTTAAAAAATCTAATTAAAATTTCTCATATACATCTTACATAATATTAAGGATAATTTTTTTTTTACACAGAAATAGTACCTTTATGTACTCGTAATATGAATTATTTTATTCTTCCACTAACATGCAATATTGTAATACAACAATTGACAATTAACATTACGATAATTAAACTTTTAATTGCATTTTCTTTTGTTATTTTACGCGATAATCACATATTGGACAGCCTCCCCCTCCCACATATAAAATACTAGAATTAATTTAAAGCAAAGTATTTTGTTGGTTGTACACTAAAACTATATTATTTAAGATCAAAATAAGTGATTAAAAACCATAAAAAATATAAACAACTACTCGAATAATGGTGTAATAAAAGTGAATTAAGAAATTATCTTAATTAAATTAATGTGCCCTTAAGCTTTCTAGATAAATATAATCGAAAAATAAAAAATATTAAATATGAAAACCAGGTCGAAATTCTCGTATTTTTTATTGTCGTTTCATTCATTACCATAGAAATATGAAAACAAATAATTAAAAGATTCGAGGAAACGTACCAGAACCGCGAAAACATTTAAAATATTTTTTTTTTTTTTAATGGAAATAATAATTACTCTTTAAGGATTATTTTTGTTTTCTTATTTTGTTTTTTAAAATCCAAACTAATGATCTAGTGATTTTTATTTAATTAAAAATAAATTTATTAAGGTGAACCACAAAGAATAATTCGAAAATGTTAAAAAGTAAACAAAGACAATTAAAAAGTTTACACCTCTTTCTTTGTTTTCTCCGACTTGAAATTTAATCACGTTTGCATCTTAATAGCTCTTAAGGTTCTCATTATTTTATAAAACAAATTTTGTCATTTTATCATTAATAAGAAATTGTAATTAAAATTGAGTTTTTATGTTAACTGCCTAATGTTTTAATCAGTTGGGATTATTCCCAACATTAATTTTCTAGCACATGTCCAAAAATAATATTAATTCAAAGAATGACAATGAAATTCTTAATTTCTTGTACATATAGAAATAAGAACTAGTTTAATATAACTTAATAATTCTTCGTTCTGCTAAAATTATAGTTTTCCTTAAATTTTTCTGATAAAGTTCCATATGAACAACATCATTCAAATGCTGCAATAAACACAGCGGTTGGTAAACTTACTTGTTAATTGACTTACAAATTTCCGCCTTTAAATCTTTAAACTGAAAAAAAATTCTCAATATCATAGAATTCTCAACCCCCTGCTGAATTATTTTTAACATATTTCAGAGAAAATATTCCTCTTTAATGAATGTACACACAAAAAATTCATTAAAGATGAATTTTTTTATTTTTGTCAAAAATTATTAAGAAAATTTTGAAAAATAAATTTTATCACAAAATATTCTACAAATTTTTTACATCACCACAACATATCTAGTGAAAAAGGAACTATTATCTAAACTAGTATAAAAATAAAAACCATAAAAAATTATCGCCGTTTCAACGTCCAAAAATCTTTTTGAATTTTCCGTATTTAAAAAAAAGAAAAAAAAATTTTTATTTATCATCCTTTAAAGAGGAAGCAACTAAAATCCTTTTTACTTATTCATTTTAATTTCCTTTTTTTTATTTTTCTTTTTTATTTTTCTTATCTTTACAGTTTTGTCCACATACCGAAAGTCCAGAACATAAATCACATTGTTGTAGTATAAGTGCTGATTGTGATGCTAGTTCATTACCGATACCACCAGGACCACCATCATCAAGACCACCACAAATAATTGGTATGGAAACATCATTATCAATTGGCCCACCATTATCATTACAACGTCATCATCATCAACATCATCAGCATCAAATTATAAGACCAGATATTGAAGGACTATCTGAAAAATATTGGGGTGAAATACTTGAGCGAACCGTAAGTTCAAATAGTTTACATGCACTACAAAAATCCTTTTCACAATCTACCCAGCATCTTAATCAACAGCAACATCATCATCAACATCATCAACATTATCAACATCATCCACATCATCAAATATATCAGCATCAACATCAATATCATCAACAGAATCATGAACAACAACAATTAGAACATCAACAACATTTATCATCACAGCAACATTTACAGCAACAACAGCATCATCAGCAACAACACCACCAGCAATCATTATCACAACCGTCATCATTAGATTTACAGCAGCAGCAGCATCATACAAATAAATTAACAAAAATGAATAGCGATTTAAATTTGACAATACATGAAAATGGTGATCATCATCGTAGTACAACACAAACAGCAATGACAGACGATGAAGATGACAATAATGAGATTATTAGTAAATTGCATCCTTCTACAAGAAAAATTAGTGCATCTATAGCAAATTTATCAACAACAACAACAACAGGAGGAACAACAAATGCAAATACATCTAGTACTGAACAAAAATTATGCGAACATATCTATCACGATGTTAATTGTGCTAAAACAAAAGCAGCAGCAGCAGCTGTTGCATCATCAAATCGTACCAGTAGTGGTGTTACATTTAATGGTTGCCATAATGAGAAGAAAAATTTACCAGATATATAGTACGCCGAGGATGTTATCTTAGGGAAACAGAAACAAAAACAAAAATTAAAAATGAAGAGTTTTTCAATTAAATAAAGGACAAACAATTTTTTTTTTTTTTTTGTATTTTTAATTTTTACTATTTAAATTTAAAGAAATTGTTAAACTTTTTGATTGATTTAAGCTATTAGATAACAAGTTATGTAGATTTATTATTTTAATATGAAGTAAGTTGGAATATTGAATTGCTTAAATTATCGCATGTTTATGTTACCAAAAGCAATTTATTTAAATTTACAGGGAACCAACCCGATTTAATTCGTTATGTGTCATAACATTAAGAATTTGTTAATAGTTTTACATAAACTTTACAACTGTTCTAATGTATTCAAGGGTCCAAAGCAATGGCTTCGACCAGATTAACTATTCGAAAGTTCTCTTAGTTTCTTAATAACCTCATATAGCTTCTTAATATTTACCAATCTATGTGAGTATTTCTCGCCTAATTCGGTTTTTCTTCCTCGCTGGAACAAACAACTCAAAACGATCAATTAAAGTTGTATTTCATTCCACATTAATGTTTGTGTATTCCGAATAGTCCGAATCTACTTCGACTTCCAGAATACCAAGATTACTTGATGACCCCCAAAATCACTAACCGAAATATTAAACGTGTCAAATACATATTAAAATATAAATTAATTAATTTAACATAATTTTTCACTTTAAATACACAGTGTTTTTAAACTTGTGTACACACATAAAATTTCAATTGTAAATATTCTGCTTTTAAAATACTTTTAATTAAATATTTATTTTTTTTTTTGAGAAAAAGAAAACATAAAAAACAAATTGTACAGGAAAAAAAATTTACAAATTATTTTTCAATCAACAAATATAAACAGAAACGAAATATTTTTTGTTTTTGTTGATATTCCAAAAATTGCACTCCCTTAATACATAGTGCATTTTCATAAATAATATGACAGTATTCATGCATATATGCATAATATTCCTATAATATACATTAAGGTAATTATTTACAATATTTTAAATATAAAAAACACACATACAAAAAAAAAAAACAAATAACAAAATAATTGGGAATAATAATTACAAAATAATGAAAATTAATTGAGAACATTTAAAAAAAAATCACAACAATAAAAAGAAAATAAAGAACGAAATTAAATCATGTAATAAAATTAAAGAATTTAAAAAAAACATAATAAGTTTACGTATAATAAGTATATGTGTTTATAAGGTGTAATAGATAATGTGAAATACCCGTTGAGTTCACTCTTTTGCATCTTAATCTATATTGCAGTTAAGAAAAGCATTAGAACTTTTAATTTTGTCAACAGCTGATGTCTACATTTGTAGTGTAACCGCTTCTTCGGTGACAAATATCACGTTATTAAATAATCTTTCACTAAAAACAAAAATTTCAATTATTTATTTTGGTTTTTTTTGCCTGCAAAATGTAAATTTTGAACAAGATAAACAATTTTTATTTAATGAGATTTAATTCTAGAAATATTCAAATTAAAAATAATTTATTGCTAAAACAGTTGTCAACCATTTGTATGCGGCAAATTTATATACGAAATTTGACATTCACTAAAATTTTTTTAACATGGTGTCCGTCAGATGCAATTATTGTTGTCGACAATCATTTGACATTATTGATTACACCTACAATATATTAATAATACTAGTAAATACAAAATACAATAAAGTATTAATCAAAATAAAACAAAACCATTTATATAACAAGTAAAGCAAATCAATCAATTTTCGTTCACTCATATATTATGAGTTTTAACAAAAAAAAACAAAGGCAAAAATACAAAACATTTATATAATATTTACATAATATGTACATATATATGTAACTATATAAAATAAAATTAAAAATCCAAAAAAAAAAAATATAAATAATTAAAATCCAAAATGTAAATAAATTAAAAAGATTTTTAAAGTAATAAGAAAACAAAAACACAAAATATAAATAAAATACAAAAAAAACAAGAAAGAAAAGATTAAATTACATTATAAAAATAAAAATTAAACATTTAGATAAAAATTTAATATATATAATAGCTAAATATTAATAATTATAAATAATAAATAATTTATTAAAATTTGTAATTAGTACATAATTGAATTTATATACATACATATTAAATACTTAAAAATATATTTATGAATAAAATTATCTAATTACTTATATACTCTAGGAAGATCAAAATCATTATTATAAATACATAAAAATTATAGGTTAACATTTAAAAAAAGAAAACATTTAAAAAAATAATCGCAAAACAAAACCCACAAAACCCACACAGCAAATTATTAAAAATGGCGGAATAATAAATTTGTAAACAAAATAAAAAATAAACAAATCACAAATCAAATTTTGTAAATTGAAAAAAAAAAAACAAAATTTAAATAATTTTTTTGTTTTTTTTTAGAAAATAAATAAGTATAATTAATTAAATTAAAAAAGAACTAGAAAATTAAATCAAATTATATATCAATTGATAATAAAACATTAGAACTAAATTTTATATAAAAAAAAAACCATAAATTAACACAAACTAAAATTATATTGTAAAAAACAAGGAGAAATTAAAAATAAAATAAAAATTGATATTGTAAAATTTTATTGAAATTGTAGGAATGGCAATTGATAATTTGGAAAGCAACAGATAAGAAAAGAGAATTTAATTTATTAAAATTAAAAATTAAAATTTTTTTTCTCTAAAAAAATATGTTCAATTAATTTATTATATAAACATTTTAATTTATTACATTTATTTTTATGCAATTTAATTAATTTATACGTTTACACATTTTCATCACCAAATTATTAATTTACTATAAGAAAATCATATAAAAAATATAAATTTGAAGCACATACATAATTTGTTGTTCAGAACAAAATTTTAATTTCAAATTCATAAAGTTTCAACATTTTATATTTTATTAATTGATTATTTAGGGCGTCTTTCAAAATGCAGATAATCTAACGTCAATATGACTAATTGTGTAATAAAATTTTGGTATAGTGCTGGTTGACACAATTTCGGCACAATTGCATTTTGGTAAATTAGTGATTCTAAATCTTGATATCAAGTACTTAATAACTATAATAAATTTAATAATTTTAAATAAATCAATTAAATTAATTAAAAGTAGCTAGCATATGCAAAAAATATTTTAATATTTTTCGGCATTCAATAGTAAATATAAGCTGATATATTTTTTTAATATTTATTGAATTAAAATTAATTGCCTCCATTGGTTATACAAATTAAACTTAATTTCGAAAGAATAAATTTTTATTATTCTTACAAGTTTTTCGTGTTATTTACAAAATTAAATCTTATTATTTTAATTCAAAAAATTTATTAAACATGCACACTTTAATTTTAAATTCTTTAAAATATTTTATTGATTTCAGAATCGAAGTGACAATGCTCGCAATTGTGTTTCCTTACGTTATACAATTGAATACTATACTATAAAGTGTAGTAGTACATTATAAAAATTTATATGTAAAAGTTGAACTGCTCTTCTTCAATTAATTGCTTTTAAATATACAAAAAAAAAAAAAAAAAACCAAAGCACCTGACTACGAAATAATGTAAATTGTTGCTCATATTTATTACAATCAATTGTTACCAGGTCAATATACTTTCTTTTTATAATAAATATTCTTATATTCATCCAATATAAATTAAATAATTTCTACAAACAATATAAAACTCAAATATTTTTACATTTCAATTCATTATCATAAAAATTCACATACAAGCTTTTGTTTATATTTTTTATAATTTTTTTTTTTTTTTTACACAATTATTTAATCAATTAATCAATTCCAATACCTTTAATGGGGACAGATCTTTAAATTATAAATTTTTTTTCTCTATTTTTATATATATTGTACATAAGTTAAATAAATTTGTATTATATAATTTACTCTTAAATTCACACAATAAAAGTGTATGAAAAAGACAAAAAAATAACAAAATACCACCAATAAATTGAACAAGAGAACAAAAACAAACAAAGTAAAAAATAAATTGCAATTATGTTATAAATATAAAATAAAAAATAAACAAAAAATATTACAATTTTTTCATGAAAACCAATATAAAAATTAAATCTTGATTGTAAAATAATACCAACGCAAGTTATAAATTAATTCACGAACAATCTGGTATAAAAAAAAAATAATTTTATTTTTTTTTTTATTTTAAAGTAAATTGGAATTTCCATGAACTTTTTATTTGACAACGATAAACTTCATGAACAATTTTTTACTATTATTAAATATTCAAATTGATTTAATTATCAGAATTTATTTTTTTTTTAATTTGTTTAAAATTATTAAAGAGTTAGATGCTGAAGGACACGATTATTTTTATTATATTTTAGAAGAAGCTGTTTTTTGTAAACGGACTCATTTACTTAAATCTGTTATACTTAAGTGCTCTGTTATTTTCATTCTTAAATCAATTGTTATTCGAACTCCTGACCAAATACTGATTTATTAAATAAACGCTGAATTTTCCAATAATGTGTTTGGTCTCATCTTAAATTGTATCATTCATTTCTAGTAACTATTTCAATGGAAGCTTATCCATAATATTTTTTTTTTTATTTTTAATTTATCGTAAATGTAAATATTACTGAAAACACAAATATTATTTTCTTATTCTTCTTCTCTTGTTCTAAATTCTTTTGCGTTCATATGATCAACTACTTTATAAGGCCGGCTGCTCTTATTCTAAATATTTATTTCCCATATTAATAAATGTAATTTGAATTGACTTGTTAATTATTTCAAACCATTTAATAAATTTAATGACAATATTACATTCTGTTGGAATTGGAAATTTCGAAATTTAAAAGTGCTAGTTAGACTACATGTGGATCTAATTTTGCGATCCAAATTAACATTTCTAATGACCAATTCTAGATTATAAAATAAATTGTTCAATTGAAAAAGAGAGGGAAATTGCAATTAAATTTTGTTGTTCAACAGTTTTTTCTTTTCCGAATAATATTGGTATTGGAATAATTTTATTTTTTTCTTCACCATATTAAATGTATTTAAATTTTATTTTTATTTATTATTTTTTATGTTTTACAGAAAATAAAAAACAAAACAAACAATATATATTAATTATGAGAAAAAAATAAAATTTTCATTTAAAAACAAATATGAAATGTTGTGTAATACCGCCGGAGAAAGCCGCAATAAAGTAATAAAAATGTAAAAAAAAACAAAAATTAAAATGTTATGGAAGTGAAAATTAAAAAAAAAAATTTATTGAAGGGAAAATTTGAATGAAAACTTGTACTGCCTATGTTAACAATTTTTAATTTTAACAAAATAATTTTAAAATTAAAAAACCAACCAAATTAAATCGTAAAAAAAATCTACATAAGTATAGAAATAAAATAAACATTAATAATAATTAAAAGAAAAAAAATATTTATAAATGTAAACTAGTTGAATAAAAAATAAGCAAAAAAAACAAAAAAAAAAGGATAATTCTAACATAGGTTTAAAAATTTCATGTGATTTAACGTATAAATAAAAAAAAAAAAACAAAAAACAAAATATTAGGAAATAAATGAAAAATTATGGAAGTAAAAAATTTGTGAAATAAAAACAAAACAGAAACCAGAAAAAAAAAATATTTAGAAAAATTAAAAATTTTAAAAATTTTCTTTTTAATTAAACCAAAAACTCTTGGCTCCTCTTTTAAGTACACAATGGCTAAAGAGAAAGTATTCCAAGGTGAGCAACAAAATTATGATAAAAGATTTAAAATTAAACAATTTTTAACAAGTTTCGAACA